CCCACCAGCAATGTATGAGGTTCCAATTTCTTCAATCTTCACCAGCATTTATTCTGCCCCCACCCCTCTTTTTTTAATTATAGCCATCTTAATGGGTATGAAGTGGTATCTCACAATGGTTTTGATTTGTATATCCCTCATGGCTAATGATGTGCAACATCCTTTCATATGCTTATTGGCCATTTGTGCAGATGTTTGTTTTAAAAATGTAAAATTATGCTTGCAAGCCTGGGATAAGCTCAACTTGGTCTTTATAAGGTATATTTCAAACGAATTTTAGGGTTCAGTTTCCTAATATGTTATTAAGATTTTTTATTTATATTTATAAGTGATGTTGGTCTATAATTTTCCTTTCTCAAACTATTCTTATTTTAGTGTCAGGGTTATACTGGCCAGTCTCCTACTAGTTGAGGAGTGTTCGTCCATTTTCTTCCTCTTTGGAATGATTTTTCTAAGATTTGGGCTTATCTAGTCTTTGTATGATTAGTAGAATCTATCTTTAAATCTTGTAGGCCTGGTGTTTTTAGATTATAGGTTTATTCTGTTTTGTTTTTTAAGTTAGTTTTAGTAAGTTATATTTTTCTAGAAAATTGCGCATTTGCAATCCAAACTTTCTGAGAAGTTATTGGCATAAAGTTTATTTTAGTATTTTAAAAAATCTTTTCTATCTGTAGTTGCTTTTTTAATTCTGTTTATTTAGGCCTTCTCTAAGTCTTATAAACATTTTGGCTATTTTATCTTTTCAAATAACTAACTGTTAAGAAAAATAATAATAAAATGCTAAGGAAAAAATAACCAGCTTTTGATCTGGAGTATCTTCTCAAGGACTTTATTTTGTTATGAGACTTTCATTCATTTTTGTTCTTTGGTGTTTTCTACTTCCTATTATCTTTTTCTAACTTCTAGAATTTGAACATTTAGCACATTAATTTTTAGTCTTTTTTTATTACATGCATTTAAGGCTATAAATTTCCCTTTAAATAACACTTTAGCTTCATCCTACAAAGTTTGATCTTTTGCATTTTTATTCATTCTAAATTATTTAAATCGTTTTATATATGTCAGTTAATAAACACTAAATATTAAGATCTTTTGTAAAGAATTATTGAAATCATTCACAAATCCTTAAACATACATAAACTTCAATTTTCTGATGAAAGGATTATTCTAATGAATGAAATATTGCATCAAGATTCACATATCACTTATTAAGGACAAGAGTTAACAAAATTGTTCTTTTATGGTCAATTACCTAGGCTCTTCCCAGACGGTGGTAAACAGCCTCTCAGCCTTGCAAATCTGAAGCCTTATTGTCTATGAACATGTATTTGTGTCATTCATCAACTACAGTTTACTTAAATGAAATAACATGTGGGTTTTCTTTTGTTGCTATTTGGGGAGGAGAAAGCCATGTGTTAGTTCATGTCATCTGTAGGATCAATTAAACTAGACTTTCTCAGTTGCTAGAAAAATAAAAATAATTTCTAATGACGTTAAATACAAAATAAATATAACACTGTTCATGGCAAACGTGGTTGCTGTAAGTTTTATTCTTTCAAATGTGGGCATGATTGTATGTATTTAGAACTAGTCATATCACCATTAAAATCAGCTATTCAGAAACAAACAAAAAAATTATTATAATTCCTTCTTTGAGCCATGAATTATTTGGAACTATTTTAGAATTTCCAAATATGTTGTTTAAGTTGTATTTTTGATACTGATTTCTAACTTAATTGCATCATAATTAGAGAACATTGTCTGTATAGTACCAATTCTTTATTGAGACTTGCTGTATGACTTATTTTGTGGTCAGTTTTTATAAATCAGTTCTTGCTGGATGCAGCGATAAAATCAGTGTGTGTATTAGATTAAGTTAACTTTGTTGTTCAAATTTTCTCTATTCTTATTTAGTAAATTTGATGTATCAATAATTTAAAATTTAGGTTAAAATTTCCCATAGTGTAGACAGGTTTGTCAGTTTCTCCTTGTGGTTCTATTCATTTTCATTTGAAATAGTTTGCGGATACCTTGCCCAAGTGTTTCAAGATGCCTTATCTGAAACAGACTGTGAGATGACTTGCAGTTGAACCTTGCCTCCTGCTTATGAAACCAGTAGTTCCCATGGCTGCTTTCACTTCAGAGTGTCATATTTATTGAAGTGGAAATTTCTGAATGGGAGGTTCAGTTAAAAACGAACTAACATTTTATTAGGGCACACAAGTTTAGAATTGTTGCACCTTCCTGGGAATTTTTCCTATTATCATTATGTAGTGATTCTCCTCATTTCTAATAATGCTTTTGCCTTAGATTTTGTCTATCTAATATTAATATCATAATACCAATAATTTTCTTACTAGTTTCTCTGTCACCAGTCTTTCTTACAGTTTCTTCTTTACACACAATATTATTTTTCACAAGATCTTTAAAATATATATATATTTTTTAAATTATTT